CAAAATAAAATCAAAATTCTGATTTGAACATTTGTATATAGTTTTGGGATATGTGTGAATAATTTATGGATTTGTGAGTTGGAGAGGATGAACAAACAGGTCACATAAAAATATACCCTAAGGTAAACAATCAAATAATAGAATAGAATCTCTTGGTACTATCAAATTAACAATTTTAAAAGATAAAAAAGTGATAAAGACACCAATCTATTCATTCCCCACCCATCTCCCATTAATATTTCTTTATCTCTCATATACTATTGTCCAATCTCTGACCCTTTTTCTGGGTCACCTGTGGTACTTTGATCCACAGTTTCCACTGAAATTACAAAACAATTATCTTTGTAACATTTCAAGCTGTATTCTAAAAAATAGAGGAAATTAAAGGAGGATGTAACTGTGATAATTAATCGTTTCATTTGGAAAAATTTATAGCAAAATTAATTCTGGATTGGTTGACTTTTTAATAAGCAGCTAAACTTAATAGCACATAGTAAATATTTGAAAATGTTCTAGACTTCTAGTGCATAGAGTTTTCTGTTAGCCAAGATCTCATAGCATTTTTACATAGGACTGTTCTATGTTAAAGTTGACACAAACATACATATAGACCTATATATATTGAATAGTTATAAAAGCTACAAATTTATATGATAATATACAAAAGCCATTTACTACCAATGCACATTCTTCCATAACAAAGAAGGCCCCACCGTTTTTTTCTTGAGGAGTATGATATTTTGTAATTGTATTTGTGGCAGTTAACATAATGATTCTTTCATATGTTTTGTAGTTATGTCTCTTCTCTCTCCCTCCTCCTTACTCTCTTGTGGTTCTTGATTTTGCCCAAATCTTTCTCCTTTCAATGCATTAAAAAATCACATAGCCAAAGAATCCAAAAAGAAACTTGTGTAACGTCAATCAAGTTATATCCCCAATCTTTCTTGTCTTCCACGATCCAAATCCCATCTTAAAATTCATATCAGCTAAGAATAACTTAAAAAGAAAAAAAAAACATTATGGATCTCGAGCGTCTGAGCTCAAGGAACCAAGTTAAGGTCAATCTCTGAACTTCATTCACTACAGTTTCGGTTCCTGAAACCAAACCTTTCTTGCTAATTCTGTTTCTTTTTGTTTGTCTGCAGAAAGAATCTTGGTGGACGGTTCTGACTTTAGCTTACCAGAGCTTAGGTGTGGTCTATGGAGATTTAGCAACTTCACCATTATACGTATACAAGAGCACTTTTGCTGAAGACATCCAACACTCTGAGACAAACGAAGAGATCTTTGGTGTTCTGTCTCTCATCTTCTGGACATTAACTCTAATCCCACTAGTTAAATACGTCTTTATTGTCCTCCGTGCTGATGATAATGGCGAAGGTGGGACCTTTGCTCTCTACTCTTTGCTCTGTCGTCATGCCAGAATCAGCTCTTTGCCTAATTTTCAGCTCGCCGATGAGGACCTTTCTGAGTATAAGAAAACTTCCGGGGACAATCCGAGGAATTTGAAAGATAAGGGGTGGAGTTTGAAAAACACACTTGAGAAGCATAAGTTTCTTCAGAACATGTTGCTTGTTCTTGCTTTGATTGGGACTTGTATGGTTATTGGTGATGGTGTTCTCACACCAGCTATCTCTGGTAATTAAAATAAAAAAGATTGATTCTTCTCAGATTTTGTGTGGATTTTTCAAGATCTTAGATGCTGATTTTGTATTATTATTGTTTTTTTTTTTGCAGTTTTCTCAGCAGTCTCTGGATTAGAGTTATCCATGTCCAAGGAGCAACATCAATGTAAGCTTCATACTTTCTTGGTTAGATAGTTTTTTTTGTGGACAACAACTTGATTAGATAAAAAACAAATTTCTTGATTAGACTGGTTTATCAAGTTAGGTTTTAAGCTTCTTAATTATGTATAGAATGAATTGTTTTTTTTGGATGTGGAAGGTGAGGCTGATGCAGATGCATTCTTTTTTTTATATATATATATAATCATATAATAATGAATGTGGTTTAGGAGTTAAAGTTGATTTATAAATAAAACAAAGATAGTGTTCCAGAAAAAAATAAAAATATAAAAAATAAAACAAAGATAAAAAGGCTAGAGGAATATAAAAGTCATAAAGCTGTTTAGTCTGAAAAGTGATAATCAAGTGGTCAAAATAAATAAAGTAAGTTGGTTTGGATAAGACTGCATAAGTTCTTGTAGAATCTGAAGTAACCTTTTTTGTCTTCAATCTCTAAATAGTTGATTATTCAATCTGTGCAGATGTGGAGGTGCCAGTGGTCTGCGCTATACTGATACTATTGTTCTCGCTACAACACTATGGAACACATCGTTTAGGCTTTTTGTTTGCTCCCATTGTCCTTGCATGGCTTCTCTGCATAAGCACCATTGGTGTATACAACATCTTCCATTGGAATCCTCATGTTTACAAAGCATTGTCTCCTTATTACATCTACAAGTTCCTCAAGAAAACTGGTAAACGCGGTTGGATGTCTCTCGGTGGCATCCTTCTATGCATAACGGGTAAAGAAAACAGAGAAGAAACATCATTTTTTTTCATGAGTTTCAATCCCTTTTTTAACTTAAGTTTGTTTGATGTTTATCCAGGCTCAGAAGCTATGTTTGCTGACCTAGGACACTTCACTCAGTTATCAATACAGGTAAAGAGATTGATCAATCTTTCTTTTTTGTGTTCTCCTACGTACTAGCTTTTTTCCTGAAACTTGTATTTGTCTTCTTGGCTGCAGATTGCATTCACATTCGCTGTTTACCCTTCCTTAATCCTTGCATACATGGGTCAAGCTGCTTATCTGTCTAAGCATCATGTTCTCGAGAGTGATTACCGGATAGGGTTTTACGTGTCAGTACCAGGTAAACGCATTATGCACTTACCATCTTGTTAACCAGATAAGATACAAAAAAACTCTCTGTTTGGCCTAGTGCTCACTAGTTTTGTTTTGTTGTGTGAACAGAGAGAATAAGATGGCCGGTTCTTGCAATTGCCATCTTGGCCGCTGTGGTTGGAAGCCAGGCGATAATAACGGGAACATTCTCCATCATCAAGCAATGCACTTCTCTAGGTTGCTTCCCTAAAGTCAAGATCGTGCACACATCTTCAAAGATGCATGGACAGATTTATATCCCGGAGATCAACTGGACTCTCATGCTCTTATGCTTGGCAGTGACCGTTGGTTTCCGCGACACCAAACACATAAGCAATGCCTCAGGTACGGTCTCCATCAACCACATGCATAACCAACTATGCAGGAAAATGAAATATTTCAACCTCTATTAACTATTTGAATTTTACAAAATATATCTAAAAACTAGATTAACCATAACAAAAGTTAGTTAACCGTCAACTTGCTTGACTCGACATTCGACTAACTCTTGTTGTGCTGTTTTCAAGAGTCGAATGTCAAGTCTACTAAATTAATGGTTGACTAATTCTTGTTATAATCAATGTAGTTTTAGACGCGTTTTGTAAAATTTATATTGTTAATTAACACAACGTAAAGGTTCTGAATATTTTCTTGTTTGTAAGCAGGTTTGGCAGTTATTACCGTTATGCTAGTAACGACCTGCTTAATGTCACTAGTAATAGTCCTATGCTGGCGCAAAAGCTCCCTCTACGCGCTAGCCTTCATCTTCTTCTTCGGAACAATCGAATCCCTCTACTTCTCAGCTTCACTCATCAAGTTCCTCGAAGGCGCGTGGGTTCCACTCGCCCTATCCTTCATCTTCCTCCTCATCATGTACGTCTGGCACTACGGAACCGTCATGCGTTACGAGTTCGACGTCCAAAACAAAGTCTCCATCAACTGGCTCCTCACCCTCTTCGGCTCCTCAAACCTAGGGATCGTCCGTGTTCGCGGCATTGGCGTGATCAACACGGAACTCGTCTCAGGCATCCCAGCGATCTTCTCTCATTTCATCACCAACCTCCCTGCGTTCCACCAAGTTGTTGTCTTCCTCTGCGTGAAGTCCGTCCCCGTCCCGCATGTTAAACCGGAAGAACGGTTTCTCGTGGGACGGGTAGGACCGAAGGAGTACCGGTTATACCGGTGTATAGCTCGGTATGGATACCGTGACGTGCATAAAGATGACGTGGAGTTTGAGCAAGACCTTATTTGTAGTATAGCTGAGTTTATACGTTCGGACAAGGCTTTTGATGAGTTATTAGACCAAGAAAACGAGACGGGGACAGCGGAGAGGCTTACGGTTGTAGCTGCTTCCTCCTCTAATCTCGAAGGTGTTCAAATCTTTGAAGATGATGATGGGGAACAGTCGGAGGTGAGTGATGTCGTTGAGGCAGAGCCACGAGTGAAGAAAAGGGTACGGTTTGTGTTACCGGAGAGTGCGAGGATAGATAGGTCTGCGGAGGAGGAGTTGACGGAGCTGACGGAGGCGCGTGAGGCGGGGATGGCGTTTATAATGGGGCATTCTTATGTGAGAGCGAAGTCAGGTTCGAGTGTGATGAAGAAGATGGCTATTAACTTTGGGTATGATTTTCTAAGGAGGAACTCGAGAGGTCCTTGTTATGGTTTGTCTACTCCTCATGCTTCTACTTTAGAAGTTGGTATGGTTTATATAGTGTGACTAATTTTTCAATTTTTTTTTGTTAAGTTTTAAAATTGTATATTAAAGTTAAGATAAATCTGTCAGGTTTTTGTTTCTGTTGTTGTTGTTGTTGTAAGTTGTAACTTTTGTGTAGAAATGTTAGAGTTGCGTGTGGCATAAGTAAGATGTGTTTTTTTCATTTTTGTAATAATTTCTCCCTACTGATAAAGATCCAAAAAGAGAGATTGAACAATAAGTAGACAAGACTCAAGAGCATATGATTCTTGTCTCTTTATGTTTCTTTAACTGCAAATCTTCTCTTTTGTCGGCTTAACTCATCATGCATACATAAGTGCATAGAACCACACATAAATATACAAGAGCAATATTGTGTGCATCTCTAACTTGTAAGCAACGCTTGCTTTGTTTCCCTTACAAAACAAAAAGATGAGGAAAAATGGAAACTGGGTGGTTCTGTCTCTAATTTTCTTGTTTCTCTTTTGTGGGTTGTCTTCAGTTTCAGCTAAGCCTCCTCCTGTTAGTGAGTTCTTGATTACATTAATTTGATTCCATAGAATATTTTTTCGATAAATGTTTCTGCTTTTTTTATAATAATAAATGACTGAAGATGTTCTTGTTTTCCTTTGTTTTGGGATCAGAGATTGTAAGTGGACTTGTGACAAATGTGGCATCAATGCTGTGGAAATTATTGTGGTCTCTTCAGACATCTACAACCACAACAACCACCACGAAATCTGGTAAGACGACCCACAACAAATTACTTTGTGTGTATTATGATCTGGCTGTCTTCAGTGTTTAAACAATTAAAGTATAATTAAACTGAAAATGTGACAGGTGTTTCTAGCCGTTCGATGGTGAAATATGAAAGTGGATATAATATAGAGACAGTGTTTGATGGAAGCAAGCTTGGGATTGAGCCCTATGCGATTGAAGTTTCCTCTAATGGAGAAGAGCTTATTGTCCTGGATTCCGAGAACAGTAACATCCACAAAATTGCCATGCCTCTTTCTAGATGTAAGTTCATCTTCTTCTTGGAATAGATTTTTTGGAAAAAAACTCCAAAGTTCGATTTCACTGGACACATACATATACAATCATATTTAACAATTTATAATGACCCATTATGTACAATTATGCTTTGCTTCAAGATGGGGATTCATCTTTTTTTGGAACAATGGGAGGATTCATCTACTTTTACTTTTTTTTTCTAGTTTAGTAAAGAAGTGAGTTTCATCAGATTTTAGATTCCAAAGTTTCTTTATGTGGGAGATTAATTTTTTGTTTTTACTTTAGTCCAGAACACACATTTAGCTTTTATCCATGTTCTGTTTCTCTGTTTTTCAGGTTTATTCTTCTTGTTGTTTCTTGTTCTTCAAGTTAACTGACTTTCCTCACATTAAAGCACCAAACTTTTGCTTTCAGATAGATTCCAAGATTCAAATAGATAGATTCTAAGATTCTTTGCTTTTGCTTCTTGCGTTTTTAGTGTTCTTCAAACTCATCTCACAACGGATTTGTTTTGGGTTTTGAATCTACTGAAGATGGTAAACCAAAGCTGGTCTCTGGTTCACAAGAAGGCTACACAGGACACGTCGACGGAAAGCTCAAAGAAGCTAAAATGAATCGCCCAAGAGGGTTAGCTATAGACGACAGTGGAAACATCTACGTGGCAGACACTAACAATATGGCCATACGCAAGATCAGCCACGACGGTAACAAACTACAAATAAACGTTAGAGAATATGTAACGCAATTATAAGCGCTAATTTGTTTATTTCAGGAGTCTCAACCATCGCTGTTGGAGGAAGACGTAGCGGCGGATCTAAAGAGGAGACGATGAGATTCTCTAATGACTTTGATCTGATCTATGTCTCTTCAACCTGTTCTCTTTTAGTTATTGATCGAGGAAACCGAATGATTAGAGAGATTCAGCTTCATAACCACGACTGTTCTCATCACGAACCAGAAACAGATCTCCATCTTGGTTACTTTCCAAACAAGCTAGGTTTGTTTTTGTGTTTGTGCTTTTGTTTGAGAGACGATGCTTGTGTATATTGTAGGAACCGCTTTGCTTGTTGCTGCTGCATTTTTTGGATATATGTTTGCGTTATTAGTACGTAGAGTACGATCATTGTTCTCTTCGTTTCGTCATCATGTAAGTGAACATTTTGGTTTGATTCGGTTAAACCGGAACCAATTAAGCATTATTGATCCGTTTTTTTTTTTATTTCAGGATAATAATAGACATGTAGCTAAACCGGAAATGACAATGGCTCCATATCAACGTTATCCAAGACCGGTTCGACAGCCATTAATCCCACCTCAACATGAACCGGAAAAAGAAGAAGGATTCCTCGGTTCGCTTGGAAAGCTTGTGGTGAAAACCGGTTCTTCTGTTTCTGAGATAATATCCGGTTCAAGGAATGTTACTCCCCAAGACTTCCAGTACCACCATAACCAGCAACAACCGAACCAGTGGCCTCCGGTACGAGAGAGCTTTGCTATACCGGAAGAGGATGGACCACCGGGTTTAGAACCGAGATCATGTACAAATCCGGATAAACCCTACCTTAGAGCACAAGGAGCAAAGCAAAACCGGTCCTATTACCAAGATTGTGACCAATACCAAAACCAGCAGAAACGAAATGTGAACGATACGGCGCCGTTCGAAGAGAATCGAGAGAAGAACGAGTTTGTGTTTGGCGCAGTTCAGGAGCAGGACGGTCGTAGAGAAGCCATGGTAATCAAGGCCGTTGATTTCAACGAAGCCATGAACGATCAGCGAAATCTACGGCCTAGAATCAATTACATGGGATATTCATCTCATGTTTACTGATTAAAAACTCAGATTCTCATAATTTACTTAGAATAGTGTGTAATATTAATAGATTTCGGTTTGTGTTTATTTCTTTGTTTTACTTTATTAGATTTCCTTAATAGTTTAATGTAAAATATTAGTTATGATTAGTTTAAAATATATATGGATATACTCCTATCTTATTTTATTTTTATTTTTTTGGACAAAAGATATACTCCTATTTTTTATGATTTTTTTTTTTTTTGTAGTTACTCTGTTATCAGTAGTCGGTGGAATAAATTTATTAAAAGGTGATATATGGCCGGCTAGTATTTTGGGAATATTCTTCCCCACGTCTGTTTCTGATGAATGCATGAGAGAGCTTACTGAACGGAGGAACAGCAGATCTTGTCTGTCTTCACGTCAGTTACATAGTTGACCCATGAAAAACCTACCGACCACAACGGTTTACAGCACCAACGTAACATAAGTTTACGTTATAGTAAAAAAGAGAAGACTGGGTTTTTTTTTTTAGTCAAAGAGAAGAGTGAGTTTCTTTTTATATTCTTATGGATTTATCCAAAATTAGAAGCACGTTTTGATTGAATAATAATTTTATATCCAATCAAAAAAGAGGAAGGTTAATTTCTTTTAACAACTGGTTAACGTTTTAGTATGAGATCTTTTTTTTAAATGTACCGTTTTAGAAAATCGAAAACCGGTTTAGAGGAGATTATTCAAAAGCCAGCTAGGCATTAACGCAATTCCAGCTATTGTTTTCTAGCTACCATTTATTATTACCGTCCCTCTCGCCTTAAGAAATGGACTCGTAAGGGACATTAACTCACAACAAGAGGAGAGAAAATTAGGGTTAGGGTTGCAGAGAAAAGCAGAGGAAAGAGAGGATTCAAAAGAATCAAACCCAACTCTGTAATTCCTCTGTTCCTCTCTCTCTCTCTAATCTCTAAACCAAATGGGTCTTCAATCTTTCCCCATCTCTGAAATGGACACAACCGACGACATGCACGAAGCAATGTTCGCGAAACGAGGTTGTTGTTTCTTCCTCCCATGTCTCGGAACATCTCAGCCGTCCAGTCACGGAGGATCTGTACTGTGGCAACGGATCAGAACCGTTGATAAACTTGAGCCTGACGACCGTTGGTGGATCTCAGGGTGGAACAAGATGAGGGAATGGTCTGAGATCGTGGCTGGTCCGAAGTGGAAAACGTTCATCCGCCGCGTAGGACGGAGTCAGTGCTGCGGTGGCTCCGGAGACGGCGGTGGTAGTAGGCCGGATCAGGTTGGTTTCAGGTATGATTCTTGGAGTTACTCGTTGAATTTCGATGATGGTAAACAGACGGGTCATTTTGAAGACGAGTTTCCTTACCGTGATTATTCGATGAGGTTCACTTCGCCGTCTCTGCCTGTCTCCACCAAATGCTCTATTGATTTCGACAATGACAACTACGCGCCACCGCAGCTGATTAAGTAAAGGCCACGCGCGCGCGCTTTTCTGTTTTTTTTTTGTTGTTTCCGTGGTATATGGATTCTAACGTGCGAGGCACGGATGGAAGACGTGACATTTTAGATGAAAGATCCGAAGAAGGATTATTTTACTCATTTTCATTTTTTTTTTATATTTTGTAACATTTTTTCACTAAAATAATATTTTTTTTTTTCATTTGATCATTAATTTCTCCTAAACTTGAGGTGATTTTCTTGAACAGAAACTTGTGTACGATGGAAGAAAATTTTTTTGATTGATTAAGTTTAATGAAATGCAAATAGTGAAACAAAATGAGCTCAGTTTGCATTCATCCAACTATCCAAGTTTCATTGGATTCTACAAAATAAGTTGAAAAGCTTACTTCTCTCACCCTTTTTTTTTGAAAACTGTAAAAGAAGCCATGAATTTTTAAACGACAAAAAGTAAATTATAATTTTACTTTAAACATCTCTAACCTCACTACAAAATTTATTGCAAAATAAAATAAAAAATGTAGTTACGAGGAAAAAAAAAGACATTACTCCATATATTCAGTAATATATTTTTTATTTGTTTATGACTGCATTTTCCACTCTATTTTACCGTTAAGTTGAATATGCTTTTAAATCATTTTAACTTTCAATTTACGAAAAGCCAAATAAACTTTTAAAACAAAAAAATATAAGCTTTTGACTATTGTTTGTTATTTGAGTTCTCAGTTTTCAAAAACTCTTCATTTTAATCTTTATATTAGTGGGTGTTTTAGATATAAAGAGTAAAATGAATATTTCGTTTAAACTGAGAACTCAAATAGAAAACAAACTATATGTTTTTTTCGCTTTCAAAAAAAAATTATTTGGCTTTTTAATATCAATTTTACCTTCAAAAGAGAAAAAAAGAATAGTGAAAGCAACATGATTTAATTGTCAGAAGATTTTTATGTCACCCATAAGAAATTATATAAGAAAAAAACATTATCTATTGCTCGCAACCAACCTTATCGAGTGAAGTGAAGATTGGGAAAAATGGCGTCGATTGCAGCTTCTTCTACTTTCCACTCCTTTTCAACAACCAAAAGCCTTAACTTTACTCCGACCCTTCTTCTTCCTCTATCCAAAAACCTCACCTTTCGAACCAAACCCATCGAGAACTGCAGAGTTTGCAGCTTTACGAAACAGAGTCGCCTTGGGTTTAGGAAGCTTTCGTCAGTTGGAGAAGGAGGAGAGGGCGTCGCAGTTGCAGAGGAAGAGCAACAACAACAACAACAAAAACAGCAAGAGACTGTTTCTGTTTCTGTCTCTGTCTCTGTCCCTGTCTCTCCTTCAGACATGCTCACCATGTTTTTTCAGGTACTTCACTCTCACACCTTTTTTTTTTTTTGGATAAATATGTGAAGTCACTCTCACACCTTCATTGATGGAAGCTTGATTAGTCCATGGTTCTATCATGACTTATAAATGATGTTTGAGTCTGATCAGTGTTTTGCTTGATTTTTTTTTTTGAAGGCTGATGGAACTTTGAATGAAGCAGCTATTCCTAATGTGACAAAGGCCTTACAGGTAATAGTTTGCTTTAACATCTCTCCATAAACTGGCTAATCTGTTTTTGTTTTTTTTTTCCAGTTTCTTGGATTGTAAACAACCCTTTAGGTTACTTGTTTAGATTCTATCCAGTCTCAGTATTGACTTTGCTCTCAACAAACCCTTTAGATAGTTTAGCTTTCCAACAACAATGAATAAAATCTGATAGCAAACCTTGTTTGTTCTTTCAGGACATCGATGGAGTTTCCAATTTAAAGGTTCAAGTTTCTGAAGGTGTTGCCGTTGTTGAGGTATGTTTACTTCCAACATTCTCTTGATACATTCATTGCCTTTACATACCTAAGCACACATACACATATATGTATACAATGACAGACTATGAATATGTGTATGCTTTAGATCACCCTATTGAATTTGACAAATGTTATGTTCAATGTGTGTGAAGCTATCAAAGCAAACAACGGTTCAAGCAACGGGAGTGGCGTCAAGCTTGGTTGAGACTATACAAGGAGCTGGCTTTAAGTTACAGACTTTGAATCTTAGCTTTGAAGACGAAGATCAAGTTCTTGTCTAATAGAATCATCTCTATCCTTTTTTTGTGATTAAAGAAACACATTTATGTTCAGTTTTATTACAAGAGGACAATGCTCAATTTTATTACACAAGTTGTCCAAACAAATATTACTCAAGATGACAAATAACAAAAGTGGAAATCAAGTGATGAAGTCTCACTTTCTTACAAAAGCATGGTACTAGTATCAACATACTCCCATGAAACAACTACTCCACCAGGATTTTTATATCCTTCAATATCAATCTTTCTAAATTGTTTCGTTACTAAACTGTAATATACAACATAGAACTTAATCCCATACCCCGGAGTCAAAATAATCTCACCCATTCTAGTAACCCCCTCAACGTGAAATTTAACACAAGGTTGTGTCCATAACCTTGTAGTAAAACATATCTTACACCATTCATGCTCCTTAGCATCTTCCAAAACCCACAACTCATATGTATCGTAACCTCTTGAATACGCTAACGCTATTTTTTCATGGTAATTCATTAGAGTTGATGAATAATAACTTAGTGTTTGGACAGACTCAGGCATTTTGGTAAAACCGAACTTTTCAGTCCTCACGTCAAATCTCACTAATCTAAGTTGCTTCATACTCTCCCCTACGTAAGCACCGTAATACACAACCCCGTTGATACATACACTTATAGTTCCAGGACAATGAATCGTGTTACATTCTACCATTCTCCATGAATTTTTAGATCCCAACGTAAACACTTTATGTTCATTATATGGTATTATGCTATCACCACTATGGTTACCAGGTAATGGAGTCATGGACAATACCTTATACTCCTCGTTGATTGGATCGTATCCAAGAATGTTTTCAACGTATGGTCCAACGTTGTGACCGACATAGATTCTTGGTAAGGTTAGTGTTTTTCCTGAGGTGGGGTTATATATCATTGGATTCCTACCGTATCCACAACATATCAAGCCGTTGACTTCTTGGGGCTGACGACATCTGGTTCTTGAATGAGAGACGTGACATGTGGTACGTGAAAGAAAAGATGATGTTCCTTGTTGGTTTGACAAGAAGAACCAGTTCTCGAATCTTGTTTGGTAATAATCTCTTACGAAGAAGAGGATGTGTGACTGAGATTGAAATGATATGATGAAATCTTGACTGTGGATTATGGATGCCCAAAGCTTTGATACACAGACACATCTCGCTAGGGTTTTGGCTGGTAATCTTAAGAAAATAATGAACAAAAGCTCTAGAGGAATAGGAGCTGTGTATCCTTCTTTTGATAGCTCCATCGTTGGTTTCTTGTGAGTTCTTGATCTTATCAACCCTTGGCCTTTCCATGGTGGGTATTATTGATCACTTAACCGTATTGGTTTCTGAGATGTTTAGTTGAAAATAATTAGTAGTTGATTTCGAGATGAAAAGCCATTTCTACACTAGACATTAGTCCCTAATAAACCGTAGCTTTTACACTGATGCACGTCTTCTTGATTACAGAGAAACGTTCATAGTCAACGAGGAAGAAAAAGCAGCCAAATAGTATTTGTATGGTAAAAGAAAAGTCGTTGTGGATTCGGTCCTATAACTTTTAAAGGGCACAGTTATTAGTTATTAAGTGCTTTTGAGAATTCAATTTTACATGTGACATTCACCTGTCAATTGATTGACATTATCATAAGCATTAAGATCTATATACTATTCGATCAACAAAGAGTCTTTTAAAAATGTAATACATATATAGATCTACAACTAAATAATCATATTTCTTACCCACATTGTTTCCCACCACTGGTAATCTGTAGAAGTCACTAATTAAAAAATAATAAAACAATGAAGAAAGAAATAGAGACTAAAGTATGTAAGAGATTCTGGAACATTTGTGAAAGGTCCTTTAACACATGATAATTTCTTAAAATGTTTTTTTTTTCAATACTAAATCTAGTGGTGAGAGTCTATCACCAATACTGATACTCTAATGTTGAACAAGAGCTATTTTTTAGTTTATTAACAATTTTCACCTTACTGATCATCATCACTACTACTCTTAAAATGTTTGCAAATAACAATATACATCAAAAAGCTAATAGCACTTGTAAGAGCCAAAAGCCAATAATAATTATCAAGTCTAGCTTCCGACATATCATCAGCAAACCAGTTATGTTTCTCACCTCCTGACTTTGTATAACTCTCAATGACCGAGATCAACGCAGCGCTCACAAAACTCCCAACACCAAAGACACTCGTGTACAAAGCAAACCCCATCGTTCTCATTCTTACAGGAACCTCACTGTAAAAAAACTCTTGCATGCCAACGACCGTGAAAATGTCCGAGACACCTAGTAAAATATACTGAGGCAAGAGCCAAAAGATGCTCAACGGGTCTGAAGAGTTTGGTGAAGTCTTGATCTTCTTGCTTATCATTAGTCTTTTTCTTTCCACTAAAGCTGCGATAATGATAGCAATGATGGACAAGAACATACCTATTCCCATTCTCTCCATGACGGGAATACCCTTTTCGTTCTTCGTTATTTTCTTGGCTATTGGGATCAAGATCTTGTCGTATAACGGCATGAGTAAGATTATAGACAGAGTGATTGTGCTTTGTAGTGTTGCTGGTGGGATTTTGAAGTTTGGTCCGATGTTTCTCTTCATAGACATACCTTGCTTTGTGAAAAATGTCGCTGGTTGTTGGAATATGACTGCAAATGTTAGAAGCATTGTCCATATTGGTAAGAGACGAAGTAATAGCTTCACGGTTTCTTGCCCTGAGAAATTGCTCTTGCAACTTTTTTCATCAGCTAAGTTCTTGCTCGTAGTATTGTTACAGTTACATAGAGGCTTCTCTTGCATCCTATATTATAATACAACAAACCAAGAAGTGATTAAGGGATGTTAACCAATTCATAAACCAAACCCAAAGGAAAATAAACCGAAAAAGATATGTATAGAAATTACAAACAAACCATAATCAAATTCCAATTGTACAAAAAAAAAAGTTTCCAATTGTACCAACTTTACCGGAAAAATTCAACCGAGTAAAACTTAAAAAAAAAAAAAAAATATATATATATATATATATGTGAATTTGAAAATTTGCTAAAATTTTAAAATATTGAATCTAAACTGTTAAAAACTATCCTTAAAATGCTAGAAAACCAAAGCTAACTCAAAATCAGAAAATAAAACCGGAAAAGACTAAACCGAAAACCGGAGAATAAAAACATAAAATTTGGTGACTTACTCAAGCTCCATGGCATTAAAGTCATGGTCGTTTACAAGAGTGATCTTACTTCTTCTCGACACTACTCCTTTGAGAAGCTCTAAGATCCTTTGAACTGGTTTAGCTCTTAGGTCTAGACCAGGATCAGCATAGACATAAACTCCAGAGCCACACAGGAACAACAGGATCAACAATAACATGGAAGCGGTTGGGATTGCAAAACCGAGAACCCAACCAAATGTATCTTGTATATAAGCAATGACGGTGACTCCTAGAAGACTACCAGCGCAAACACCAAAGTACCACCACTGGAAAAACTGAGTCTTGTGGTTTGATTTGACTTCTTTGTTATCTGAGGATGGCTCGTGGTTGTGGTCAAGGTCATGGTCAAGCTGGTCAGCGCCAAATGCTTGGAGAGATGGGTTTAAGACGCCTAAGCCGAGAGCGACGAGGCTAAGTGAAGTGTAGAGGAAGTAAAGAGAAATGGTTTTTGTAGTGGAATGTGACCCAGCAAATGCCGTGCATGTTAATCCCACTAGTCCCTTTTTATCCAAAAAAATGCCAAACATTAGTTACTTAAGTAATTAACAAAAAAAATATAATCTATACATATGAATTCAGTAATACTCAGAAATACTTAATCTTTACATTATATCCTCAGTAAAAAAAAATCAGTTATTGTTGTCCAAGTTACAATAATGGGTTTTTTTTGTTCATCCTAAATATTCAATAATATAATATAGATAATCAATGTTAGTGAGGAATGATTCGAGTTCCATTGTCATAGTTGAGTATACACTAGGCTTAACTATTTCTGATAAGATCCCAAAAATCACACTATGGAACCAAACTCTACCAGCAATATATGCTTAATTCCATTAACGTCACATACCCTAAAAAGGAAGATTAATTAGTTATAAAACATTTAGTGACAAAAGTATTTCCTAGGAAATTCCATCGAAATGCCTAACCACATCAAAACACAGATGAAATATCAATAAACGTTTCGTATTGATTCCTAAAAGGTTCCTGTTTTCAAGCAAATCGACCTCATAAAAGTGCGAAAAGAAGAGGGTCACATGATCATTAACACATCATAAACAAAAAAATTCAAAAAAAAATCGTATTAACAAGGCATAATATTGTTTTAACGGACAAATAGAGAAAATAAGAGAAGACGTTATGAAAACAAAAGGAAATGGACCACTTGGTTAAGAGATCATATGAACATGTTTCAATATGTGTAATAATATAATAAAGCAAAACATTTATTGAATTGACTCTTTCTGACTGTTGATTCCTAATAAAATGTCAGTAAAATGATACTTACCACAAAGTAAAGAGAAGAAGAAGCGAGGATGGTAAAGAATCTGTCCCAATAAGAATCTGCAAAAGGAGCAGAGAAGAGAGGCAACATGAAAGTGAAGCCACTCCAGGTGTTAACGGTTGTGGCTGCTCTTGAATTGGTCATCTTTACCACATCAGTTAAATATGTCACTAAGTTTGATGCAACTCCTTTGAATGCATATCTCTCTATCCCAGCAATCACTATGAGAAGGGCACATGATTTGCTAAGTCTTCTTGTTTTCTCTCCTTCATCCATCATAAACAATATTTGAAGCTTGAGCTTTTGGCTAAAGAGAGATAGAGAAAGATGAGAAGAAGTAAGGTTGTGCTTTGTGTGTGGGATTGTATTTATAAAGCTTTAGGCCATAAAATCTGGTACAGTGCATCCCCATATATACATATACAACTGAGTACATGACTATTTTTATTTCTTTTCTGTGCTTAATCTAAAAAGGAATTATATTTCTAAAGCACTAAAAACTAAACTTATTCTTAAATTCCTTGAAAACAAACTATATGTATTCCTTATTTTCATAGAATTCATTATATATACGTTTCTTCCAACTCAACAGGAAGCTATCTTTTAACTCAGCTACTTTTTATGCAGACTTTATTTCTTCAGTGGATATCTTCAATAATATTGAAAATGACATAACTATTTATCCTAAAATGAAAAATATTTATACCTGCATGTAGAAACAAATAACAAACTCTCTTTTATCACAAAATAAAAATACAAACTCTCTTTTTCTCTCTCTTTTCAGCAATTTTGTCTCTTACTCCTTTACTTGGACGAGATTGAGACAAGCAAATTGCAAAGGAGTTTGTACTTTGTATAATAGAAGACTACTGGCAATAACTAATTTTGGTCCATAGATATAACCATTTTGATTTCCCATCTATTCACATTAACCGATACCATCCTTTTTTAGCTTTGGTTGCTTTGTTATGGTTTTACTGGTTTTACTGGTTTTACTGGTGTTCTGACCTTAGAACATGTTACTTGTTTGTCAAGTCTCAAATTCGCTTTATTGGTATAATTCGAGGTATATATATATATACATACACAAGTAAGAAAAAAAAAAACACCCCTAAAACAAAAAGGAAGATGAAGTCCACTTCAGGGTTTGGCTTTGGACAAAGGTGTAGTGAGTGGCAATATGTCGACTTGCACCAACGTAAAAATTGAGTAGCTTAAGAGCATGTCCATCCATTAGAACCTATTAGAGGTTGTAATGATTAAATTAAAAATAAATAAGGTGATTTAGCAAGTTTAGAACCTTGGCTAATGGAAATAAAATTTCCTCCTCCAATGGAGGGGTTCTTAAAGAAGTTCTAAAACATGAAACATATACATACTGTCTTCTTATGTCACAACTCATAAAAGCTAGAACAAAAAATACATGTCAATATGAAAGAGCGATCTTGTGTCTTATTGTGTCACGAGCTTCTCATGTCTACATTTGCTCTCTTCACAGCAAGCATCATTGCTGAAAACCACACAAAAAACTATTGTTTCCCTCATCTTAAAATGATTGAAATACAGTAAATCTAGAGCCCAAAATTCTCACCTTTCATGCTTGAAGCACAAACCTTGTTGATTGTAGTACAAATAACAGAGTTAGAGATCCCTGCACCTAAAGCAGCTTGACGAGCAGGAGCTTGACCCAAATTAGCACTAAGAACATTGCCAAACACAACTTGAACGAGAGATGGGTCAACATTTGCTCTCTTCACAGCAGCTGCAGAAGTTAAAAGCAAATACAAGTCAATTATATAACCTTACACAGAAAAAAAAAAAAGATATATCATTAAGGAATCAAAACCTGCAATATAAAGACAATCAAATCTACAATATAACTGGAACAGAGAGAAAGAGAGATAGTTATATGAAAACAGAGTGCTGTCGTTGATGAAGTGTGGTCGGCTCTGTAGTATTTTGATCCATTTCTTGCATCTCCATCGGTATATCTACTCCCTGCACAGATTAATTACATCATATCATTCATGAGAAGAGTAAAAACGACTAACCAATGTTCTGCAAAGTTTAATTACATCATAACAAATGACTTATTTTTCCTGAAACCAAATCAAAGTAAGGAGATGCTGAATCGGAGACATAAAAAGATACATACCTCTCTTTCGATATAAGCAAATGTTAAGATGGAGCCAAATCCAACCAAATCGATGTAATAGGAATCTGGAAAACATCCCAAAGTTAAGATGAAATTAAAACGATGTAATAAAAGAGACAAATAGATGATATTAACAGAGTCAACACAAAGAGAAGATATTTAACAGACTCAAAACATCTCATCATCAAACCAAAAATTTCGATTCTAATCCAAAGCATTCAAGTCACGGGAGCAACAAAAAAAAGTTTACCTTAACAGTGATTGCATGCACGGAACTGGAGGTGAACTTCGACGATTCAAAATCTTCTCTAAACATCATCTCCACCCACAGAACCTACAACGAAGAGATAGACCATTCCACAGCACTGACAGCACCCACGACGCACAGATACACCAACCGACGAGGACGAAATCGATCGATCTTCATCTCCGTGGGAGATTTACATATAATCAACCATTTCGTTGAGAGAGACCAAGAAAGGAGCAAAAACATCGACAATATCAATGAGAGAGAGACGAAATCGAGGAAAGAGGAGCGCTTTCTTTTGCTCTCTCGTGTGAACAGAACGGTCGAATGAGAAACTGCCACGTATGGGGTTTTAACTTTTTCTTTAACCCCTTCATAAGACAACGGTTCTGTGATAATAAGGCATTATTGATTTAATTTTATCCCCTTTTCCTTTGAGAACCCTCACTAAAACCCCCCAATGGACTTGGTCTAAGTGCGTGACATTTGTGTGGTCTCCATTGGGTGCTTTTACCCCTCCACGAAGTTCATACTTAAATCCCCGCATCCTAGCAAAAATAAGATATAAATGGTTATACATAGAAAATAGTTTGTAATAATGGCTAAAGTTAATTCATAAAAGAAAAAACGTGAACATAGAAATGAGTTTATGCAGAAAGAAGAAGAATAAATATGTTTGGCTTTTGATAAATAATTAGTTTTGAATAAAAATGAGATATTACTAGTTAGCAGAATTTTCCTTTAGGGTATGTTCTTTAGTTGAGTAAACAATTTCTTTGATTTTTTAATGATAATTTATGAATTTGGTTTATATATTGCAAACTTAGGCCAACGAAATTTGGTGACTGGGTGTCCTAAAAGCCATGGGAGATTGTATGTGTGTCTACCGTGTCTTTGTTAATTTGATGATAATAGAATTGATCCATCATTGTGCTTGCCAATTTTTTTCTAGCTTAAGAACATGTGGCCGTGAACCTTTCACGCCTAATTTTGCGTATTAAAATATCTCATTGGTAATCTTATTGGTTAATTACTTAATTTAGATTGGCAGTATAATTCTTTATATATTTTTTTTTCTTTTTTCTGGTAAATTTATTCGTGTACTCTAATTAAATTGAAAAAGTAAATGGCATGACATTGCACCAATACAAATGAATGGATTACACACTTTCGGTCCATATTTTCGTGTGTTTCGCAGTTAAAAGTTAAAACATTAGCACTAGTGTGGTTACATAAGATCACAAATAATAACCCAATCCTCTCAATTAATCAAGTTGGCTTGGTTTAGCTGGAAATTAACATTCGAGGTGGATCCCAATCCATTTTATGCGCAATCCAGTTTATATAAGAAACATGTAACTTACCACACAAGTTCATAATCTCTTTGAATTGTCTTTGGAAAGGTAGTCCCATCGAACGTGTAATGTATACTATAGTTTATATATATACACACAACATATCAATCCAAGGTAACATGGTAAAACTAATTAATATCACTTGTCTCAAATAAAAAAGGTAACACTAAGGTCTTACAGTAGTTTTGCATGGACACACAAAGGCTCCAAGCTTCAACTCTCTCTCTCTTTTGACAGTTAAACGTTTCCCGAACAGCTTTTCTAGCAAGAAGCCTGACTCTGTCCGATGCAACGTTCTCGTGAGGCCGTACCAGCCAAATATTCAACTATCCCTCTTGACTGTATTTTTCACTTGTGAGGTCTTAACTCAAGCTTGTACGCTCGTATTTCCATGGGAGAGATCGAGACACGTCCTTCCTGTGGCGGCAGTGTACCAGCTTGATCGTCGTACCCAAGAATCTCCATGTCTTCTTGCAAGAGATTCAGTGAAGTTGGTTTTACCTTTGTAGCTCCAAGATCTTTAAACATGTCGGAAAAGTTCACTGGCTCATCAGCCACGCTTGTGCAGTTTGCTCTTCTTCCTTTATGGCAATAAGCCGAGTCCCAAGCTCTTCGGTTGAGGATGAGAGCGAACCTCGGTTTGTCCCCTTCCAATTGCTGCTGAGAGTATTTCGATGGACGTGGAACCTTGAAATTCACGATGTGGATGTCACACGGCAACGGTTTCGCTAAAGGAGCAAATGAACCGTATTGCGGAACACGCACCGATATGTCTTGCGGTTTCTTGGCGATGAATGTGTTTATGGGATAGTTCAAGTGCGCACCTACGAGGTGAGAGAGGAGCGATGGGTTCCTCGGGTTAGCGTTGGAACCAGAGTCTGCTTGAGAGATGTTTGATTCTGCAGTAAGGTGAAACACCACTGTCATTGCACGGTTATCCATCACACCTTGCCCGAGACCACGTCCGTCATCACGGACCAACCTTCTGTCCAGCATAATCTCCAACCAACCATCTTTAAGGCTTGCAACACCAAGAGATTGGCGAGAGTGCACGGAGAATCTCTGACCGTTGGATCCTTGTATGAATGCTAGAGATGGCATAGGGTAGTAGTTTCCTTGAAGCGGTATCTTATCATAAGTTTCTCTCCTGCTCATTTGGAAACCGTTGAGATCAGAATAGAAGACCTTTTTGTTGTCAATGTCAGTCTTGTAACGCACGATTAACTCCTGGTCATCAAAATTTTCATCGACAAGCTCAACATGATACTCCATCTCAACAACTAGATCCTGAAGCGTGTTACCTCCAGTGTAAACTCGAGTGCTGTGCGAGATAGGTGATTTCTCCCACCTGGTCTTAGGATAAGAGAAGACTTCTTGGACTAGCAGTCCTTCGGATGTGACTAGATGTCCACCGGATTTAACAATCGGTTGAGCTTGACCTTTTGGTTTGAACAGGTACGCTCCACTATCTGGACTTGTGTACATACCAATCTCTTCTCTCACGACGGTCTCTGCCCCATTTCTATCGACTATTTTCTGGAGTAAACCGTTCTTAACATCAAACACAAGAGTCTGATGTTCGTTTTTGATCTCAGTCACATCGCTGTCCAGTTTTGAGCAGGAATACGGAGGGGGACAAGGGAACGGGTCGAAGAACTCAGAAGCGTATTTGAGTTTAGACTGTGTAGCTTTCTCGCATTCAACGTTTCCGTTAACAATGTAATACGTTCTCAGACCAAGAGCTGGAATAGAAGCTTTCCAGTGAAGGCGATGTCTCCCAGTGAATAGTTTGGCATTGTCATGCTGCATTTCAGGAGATATTTGGCTAGGGACACAAGTCCAGTTCGAGTCCAGAACCGAGATTTCAGCACGGTTGACAACGACTGTCACTACCTCTTCTCTCGTCTGTTCGGATGGATTGAAGAGTATAACTGTGTGTGAGTTTCCTTCACGTGCAGCAATTGGCTTGTGAACAGGCCGAGCATCATACTTGGATCTCACTTGCTCTGCCTCGAAGAATGATGGGGACTGATCAGACTTTTCTTTCTCATGACGAGTCCCAAGAAGAACCTCGATTGCTTTAGACATAAAGATCTGAAGGTCTTGCAATGAAGTATGCATCCGGGTTCCGTAATCTTGTACCACATGATCCTTAGCAGTTCCGGTTACCCCATCATGGTGCTGGAAAAGAGCTAGATTCCTTCTTGCAGCAGTTAACTTATACGAAAAACTTGTCGGAAATTTCTCACACTGAACTCGATGGCAATAACCTAGCAGGAACGACATCATGATCTCGGCGCCACGAAGGGTATGCTCGAGCACACGATCAACGGCTTTGAAGAAAGGCCTTGAAACATAATAACCACTCCAATAGTCTTGTTGCCTATCTGCATATGTAAAGAAGTCACCTGATAGAGAAGGGAAACCAACAACCTGACCAGAGCCAACCTCACCAGGAAGTGAATAGTTTACTCTATCGGCTTCTTCCCGAAGTGTTGTGAAATAATCCTCCAGAGTACCAAACTTTGCCTCTGCGTTTAGACTAGGATTAGAGTTGATGTGATCAAACAACACCTGGTAGTTACGGAACTGAGCCTCGGCTTCATCAATACTTATGAACCGAAAATCATCTCCAAGTGGTATAAGAAGGGTGTTTGTTCGATAAAGGGTGGATTTTTTCCTGTATTGATCAAGAAGCTTCGATGCCCTCTCTTGCACATTTTCTTGTGTGGTCTCCACTGGGTGCTTCCCCCATGGGCAAAGCTCATACTTAAACCCCCGCATCCGAGCAAAATCAAACTGACAGCAAACTGCAGGCTCTGGCCCACAAGTGTGTGGGATATCGTATGAATAGAAAGGCATCATGTGAACAAAAATATCAGTCGTCTCCATAGCATCCCAACTCTGACGCCAAATATATTCCAGATTCTTATGCAGTGCAAGTTCCTTTTTGAGCTCGTAATGAGTCCTCTGAATAAGCATGTTTTCGAAACCCATACGCCTGAGGAGGTAAGCCATGGTTGATGAATAGCCAAAGGGATCAATGGCCCATGAATTCTTGGGAATAACTCCAATTGTGTCATTCAGCCACATGTTACCCTCTGCGATCTGCAGATAGAAGACAAAATCAGATTCAAGAGCATAGCCAGTACCAATAACAAAATATAGTTTCTCCTAAGAACAGGCTGGAGTCCCCAACTTTGGACGAAATTTTACCCAAATAGAAGAAAAAAACACATGCAACAAGCGGCTAGCTAAGCAAGCATTATCTGTAGCCAATTAATATTCTATCACCACATGCTCTTTTACACATAACAAGCAAAAGAGGGGTTTCAGCTCAAACGAGGTATTAGGTAATGTCAGTACTATAACCAACCAGATGTGACAGTAAATACAAACTAAATGGCTAGCCTGCTGAAATGCAGTAACCACTACCATCATCATCATCATCTTTGTTTCAGTAAAAGTCAAGTTTCTAAAAACAAAAATTCAGTGCAGAAAACAAAAAGAAAAAAGAGTTGGAGAATTTATATACCTGTTCAATAATAGCAAAATAATGTGAATTAGCCTGCACCCAACAAACAAACACCAATACATATTAGCGCATCACAAACAACATAGCAGCACTCTTTTTGAAAAAAGAAAAAAACATACCTCATCATTCATCACCCAACCACCTCCAACAATCTCTAACTGCCCATTCTTAATCAAATTACTCAAACCTTCCTGCTTACTCGGCGAAGCATCTCTCCACCATCTCTCCAGATACGACATCTCCTCCCATATAAACTTCCTTCTAGAATCCTATTTAATTAAAACATTTAAAAAAAAAAAACAAATCCACGTCATCAATCATCAATTCACTGAGATCGTTTCGTTTGAATCACCTTGGAAAGAGTCTCAACGATGGTATCGAGGATATGCCTCGACTGCCTCTGATAATACTCTTCAACCGTCAGCTTCCACCCAGGATCGTTGTGAGAGTGAGGCACCACGAAGATCTTCAGCTTCTCCTTCTCCCACTCGTCTCCCTTGTAAGTCACCGGCCACCCCTGCTTCCACGGACCGCCGTCAACGTCCTTGAACTCGATCCTATCGTAGAGATCCTTGGTGGTGATGTCCACCACGGCGGAGGAGGAGGTGTTCACGTGCCGCCGGTTGATGCTCTTCCGCGGCTTCGGGATCCGATTGGATCTGGAGGCGAGGAAGCGGGAGGAGATCGGTCCCGGGACGCCGAAGTGGAAGAGCGTGAGGAGGAAGAAGAGGAGGGAGACGACGAAGGCGATGACGAAGAAGTTCGCGAAGAGGAAGTTGGTGAGGAGTGTTCGTTTTCGTGGTTTGCGGTTGATCGCTAGCTTGGATTTTGATAGGGCGGTTGGGAGGAGGGATTGGCCCCAACCGCTGCCGCCGGTGGCGGAGGAGGAGGAGGAGGCGCCACGGCGAGTGTTGCCGATGTAGGAGGAGAACGGCATATCTAACTGGCGAAACTACGTCGTTTTCCTCGCCTGATCTTTTTTATTTCTTCGGCTTTAGATTTTATCAAGTGAAAGAAAGATCCTCACACTGACGTCTGAATGGTTGTTGGATTTGCTGTAAATTCGAGTAATATTTAGGGGTAATATTGTCTTTTGTTACAAGATAGATTTCGCTCAACTTTTCTACGTGACCCGGAGGGAAAGCGGGTTGGAGTGCGGTTCTTTTTTTTTTGTCTTTTTGAGAGGGAAAAAAATATGCATATCGCGCGGAAATTGTCTACTAAAAATTAAAATTAAATTCTCAATTTTGAAAAGTTGGGTTAACCAGACCACTAAACCGGTCAATGGTATAATTTAAAACCCCCGCCTAATGAAATTGGTTTTCGAGGTCACAACAAAGCCTATATCCAAACACACCGCTTCTTCCCTCTCTTTATCTCCCCGGGGTGTTGAGTATTTTTATATTCTACTTTTTTTTTTCTCTGAAAATAACTTTTGTTGTCTCTCAGGAAATGGAATCTCTCGGTCGCCACTCTTATAGCCGGAAGGAGAAATCTCTCGGGGTTCTAGTCTCCAA